CATATATATATATATATACATATATATACATATATATACATATATATATATATACATATATATACATATATATATGCGTTGCGTACTCAGATTAGTTGGTCAGACATCTATTTGTCAGTTGTAAGTCCCCTATGGTCTGGGGTTCGATTTTCCGCAGAGTGTACGGTGTGATACTCGAATTCTCAAATGCATGAGGGATGATCGGAGCTCCAAAGATGTTAATATATATATTATAATATATATATATATATATAATCATGAAGATCATAGGATTATTCCCTCACTATTTGCATATGCATATTAATTAATTGGGAAATTTACTTGCATACCATATAATTTTTATGTATATATATTTAACATCTAAACTTCATCATTTACATTCATATCATCTCATCTATGCATCTAATTTATTTTTTATAGTTAAAATGGTGACATTTGTATTTGATATGAAAGAATTAAGTGGCATTATTTAAAAAAGTAAAATTCAGTTGTTGGAAATGAAAATCATAAGAATTGGGTAATATGTATGCAAATGCCCCTACTTATTTATGAAGCTCTATCTTGCATGTACACCTTTATTGTCTTTTCCCCTAGGTTGTTGGTAAGGGTGTAAACAAGCCAAACACGAGCTGAGCCCGAACTCACTCATGTTCGGCTAGTTAAAAAATATTATTGTTCGTGTTCAGTCCAAAGGCTCTCCAATCTATCAAGGGTGTAAACAAGCCAAACACGAGCTGAGCCCGAGCTCACTCATGTTCGGCTAGTTAAAAAATATTATTGCTCGTGTTCAGTCCAAAGGCTCTCCAATCTATCAAGCTAACTCGAAATGGAACATAACAAACCACAAGCCGATTTTGATTCAAACTCAATCAATTTGATCCGAGCTACATGCAATCACCTTAAAATAAATTATGATAACCTATAAAGCAAAAATAGTATTAATCCTAACTAGGAAATTGAAAAACTCATCTCTAAATACCATTCCATAGGGATTTTAAATGATGTTATAAACAAGTAAAGGAAAAAAAAAAGAAAGCTCAGTCCCAACTTACGGGCTTAAATTTACAGCACAAGATCTAACTTAAAAGCCTTAGAAAAGACTTTCAACCCAGCAACAAAACAGACTAAAACAGCTCAATTTCCACATCCTCACCATTCTTCCCAAAATCCAAGCACTTGCCTTCCTTCTTCTTGCTCGCCGGCGGCGGAGTCCCCGGATCGAATCCGCCCGGAACCTCCGGCGGCGCGGCACAACGAATCAAAGCCCAATTAAGACCCTCGAAGAAAGGATGTCGCTTGATCTCCGCCGCCCCTTTGGCTGAACCAAGCCTGCTTTCTGGGTCCTTTGCCAGCAAACCTTTGATCAAATCCATGGCTTGAAAGCTGATTGTAGGTGTCTCAGGAAACTTCAAGCTCTGACACACCACATTGGCTAAAGTCTCTTCATTCCCAGATCCCTTGAATGGTGTTCTTCCATAAATCAGTTCATATAGAAAGATGCCATAGGTCCACCAGTCTACAGCGCTCCCATGTCCATCACCTTTGATGATTTCTGGGGCTAGGTACTCATGAGTGCCGACAAAGGAGTTCGACCGGGCATCGGTGGGCTCTACGACGAGCTGCGGGAGAGGGGAAACTTGGGTCGTTGAGTCGGATCTCGCCTTCCAGTTCTTGTTCATGGAGGAAGTGAGGAGACGAGGAGTAAAGCAGGAAACTTGACAATTAGGATTGATGCAGCTGGACTCAGCACAGGGTCCTGATAACTTTTTGGCTGCCTCTTCCCTGCCGAGAGAAGTTGACCTGAGAAGGGTTGGGCTTACCGTGCACCTGAGTGAAAGATCAAAATCCGAGAGCATTATGTGGCCGTCCTCTCGAACGAGGATGTTTTCAGGTTTGAGATCACGGTATATCACTCCAAGCATGTGAAGATATTCCAGAGCGAGAAGGACTTCGGCGACGTAAAACCTGTATGTAAACAGATGAGAAAGGAGTTCAAGATAATGCAGACATCAACTTACAATTACTGTTGTGGAGATTAATGAGTGATTGTGATAGCACAGTGTTCACCAAAGTTTCAAATTAAACGAGTAAATGACTGAATGGAGCTAACCATTATGGTTGCAGACATATCAGTAACTCTTCTCACTACCCCACAAGTTAAAGCCCTTGCACTAAATTTCTTACCTATTTCTACAATAGATCACAAATACACAAGCTTGGGGGTGAAAGCAAATAGGATCATCAACGCATTCATTTATCGCCACTTCACTCCTCCCTCTCTTTCTCTCTCTATCTCCAAATGTCATTTTCTACCATATAATTCCTACAAAGACACAAGAAACAAAAAGTTTCAACCCATCTGCTCAAGGGAGATTATAGCCCTCCACTTCTTCCTGCCTCTTCATAGAGCTAGCTCCAATTCCATTCCCTTAAGTCCTCTTCACTCCTCTCGCAACTCTCTTCTTCTCCCACATCATTCTCAGTAGAAGATTTAAAGCAGTTTAGTAATTAAATCCACATTTTTAAAATCATTTTGCCAGCCTCTCCAATAATTCATGTTTGCATTAACCATTGGCATCAGCTACTACAGCAATGTCAGTCTAACTTATCACATTCATTCAGATGTTGCACCTTACTACAATCATCCAGTACTCCGATGTGATATATGAGAACACAGAAGTCCACTTTTTAATAACCGTTTGATCATATATCATGGCTCTTATTACGCATAAGATTTCCTAGTGAAATATGTTTTATATATTTATACCAATTCCTCGACCATTTGACAAAAAGGTATCGCCCATCTTCATAAACTAGTTTTTTAAAAATACAGAAGGAAACAAATAACACTTCTCAGATACTAATGGCAACCAAGAAGGACAATGAATGAAACAATTTCTAAGGCAACAATTTCAAAAGGAAATGAATCCGCTAAGATACTCAAGGTTTTAAATTTTCATACCTAGCCGCTGGTTCTGAAAACCTCCTGCCAGGTTGCTTCTGTCGAAGAACATGCAGATCACCACCCGGACAAAACTCCATGACTAAGCACGAGAGATTGTCAGTTGTAAAATGTGCGTAGAGTGTTGGAAGGAATGGGTGATCAAGCATCTGCAGAATCTCTCTCTCACTTTGTGCCCGAAGAATTTTCTTTCTGCTCAACAAAAACTCAACATCCATGACTTTCAGGGCAAACAAGCATCCAGAACTAGTCAGCTCAGCAAGGTAGACAGTTCCAATATCTCCACATCCAAGCTTCTTTATTAGTTTGAAGTTCATCAATCCCAAACCACCAAGATGATTCAAAACATGGCGGATGGCTACCCATTTTACATCCTTGGACATGTGAGGTCTAATAGCATTGCCACTCGAACCACTCTGATTGCTCTCACCACTTATGCTAGTGCTGCTGCTATAGTCACCTAGGCTACTTATAGAGCTTTGGGAACAATCCCCCTTTTCTCGAGATCTTGGTGTTTTATTCATTCTTGCACCAGCGGTATTACTAGAGCTGCAGTTATCCGGATTTGCGCCACCAGGCTTTGTTGCTTCAGATGTCGGAGAAACTAGCTTTCTGACACCTGACTTAATTTTCCCAGGACTCTTCACGGATTCCTCAACTTTAGGAATTCTGTCAGAATTACCCAATGATGACGTAGATTCCTGCCTTCCTTTCCTAGTAAAGGACAAATTGTTCCTGAAGGTTGATTTGGTCAAAGGGCTCGAGCAAGGCTTATTCAATCCCGTCTCTGTCTCAGAACCAGATTTAGAAGCTTTTGGATTTGATTTTCTTTTTATTCCTTGCTCTGAAACCACCATTGAATGCCCCCTGGTTTTTGTTGATGGAGTAGCTATTACATCTTGTATTCTGGTTTTGATTGGATTTGATGTTGAGGAAGCGGCTTTTGATGGAGAAGCTATGACATCTTGGATTCTGGTTTTTGTTGCATTTGCTGCAAGGGATGGGCTATAGGAAGAAGAAGAAACAGCCTTTTTAGAAGATAAATCTGTATTGCATGCACCACATACTTGACTTGTTTTATGACTTGAATTTATAGCCATGTTTTTAGGTGCAGTTGATACTTCTAGTAACTTCTTTTTAACTTCACCAACAGAAAGATCAGATTTGCTGCCTTCAATAATGACTGAAGCAAATAGCCTTTTAATTGTGCCAGCTTCAGAGGCAGTAGATAAACAGATTGGTTTGGATGACCTCTTCAATGCAGCCTGCTCTGATGCCTGTGATATGCATAATCTTCTCAAAGCCTGTTTCAGGGTTACAGACTCAGAAATTCCAAACCCTGACTCTGGTGATGCACCACCCTTAATGAACTTTTTAGCTGAATCGTTCCTCTGCCTTCCATTAACCATTTGAGAGGAAATGCCCAATAAACTGGGCGATGTTCTGAAATCAATTGCTTCAATAAGACGGCTAAGATCATCCTCAACAGAATAATTATGGGATTTTCCTTCATCTTCTCTCAATTTGACCCTTATTGGCTTTGGCCGATTAGAATAATTCCCTAAGTTGAGCTCTTCACCTGACTCAACAATCTCAGATACACCACCAGAAGTGCCCATTTATCCAGCCAAAACTTTAAATTTGTAAAACAGCCCAACTAACCCATATCAGAAGAAAATATCTGGTGAGAAATCTCCATAGCATAAACACAAAAAATACATCTGAAATGATGAACTTCACACATGGTCATTGGAGGATTCAAATCTGTTGTCGAATAATTCTATTTTGATGGGATAAAAATCAACAAATCTGTTCGCCAAAAAAAATTATTAGTACATAAAATGACGATGTCTCTGGCGACCAAAATTTGGTCAAGATAGATCTCAAGGGCATTCAATCATTAGCATTGAGATAAGTGTGACATGATTAATTAATGAAATTTTGTATTGTGCAAATCTCAAAAAAATTTCAATGATTTTAAGATCTCTGTTGAAGAAATTTGGATTAGGATATCCTGACCCAATTTGTCCAGTAAAATCTAAAATTGCAGGCACAGTGATTTAAAAAGTTCAAAAAATTTTATAATTAATTAATTCTGCTAATTCCCATAACAAAAAATTATGGATAAACTGAAAATGTACAAAATGCTACTTTGAATAAAATACATTTTGCCCAACAGCCTATAGACAAGATTAAATGTTTAATGGTTAAAAAAGTTTAACATAATGAAGGAGGGCAAGCCATATTAAGCTCAATAGGTCACCTATGTGGGATCCACAATGTCACTTGTAAGACCACATAGTATTTCCCAATGCCAGGCTGATGATGTGCACTATCAACTTTCATCCAAGATTACTCTTTAAAACTGACATTTGTTATTTTTTTCTCAAGTCCAAAAATAGTTTTCTTTATTTGGATTTTTTCACATTTTACTTGATTCATCAAAATTCCTACTCAGTCAATGAAATACAATATTGAATTACTATTTATCCAAGACAACCCATCTCTTACATTTGGAATTTCTCTCTTACATTACCCCCATCCTAAGATTCATCGTCAGCCTGGCAATATTCTATAATTATTTCTGGAGAATAATTTTCATCTATAATTGTCATGCATTGATGGGTTTTTTGGATCAAGGATTCTACATTACTCTGTATGGAAGTTCAATCTCAACTCTGTTCCTTTGCAGTCACCACTCAATATCATTAATGGTCACCACAACATCCATTGATAAGTTAAATAAGGTGGAGTAAAAACACATGAACTCTCCATGCCTTTATCCTTCATTTTAGTGAGATCTAACTTTCATATTCTTCTCATTGTCCTATATTTGATATATTTTTCAAGGCTTTTAGCAGATGAACTATGCAGACCAAACTCTCACTCATCAAGGTATTGTCCGGTTTGGCCTAGTGGTCTCACGGTTGTACCTTATTTGCATAACTTCCTAGGCAGTCACCCATCCTAGGAGCGTTCTATTAGGAGTACGCTTAACACTGGAGTTTCTAATGAAATTTCAATGTTACACCAAAAGGCGGCTCGATATTTACGAGTTCATGATTCATTTTAATTAATGGGTAAAATCCCCCACACTTAAGTATCGGTCATTCCTGCCAATGATCATAGTCTAGAATCATCGACCAGACAGATATTTTTATCTTCATGCTAATGTAATGCTCTGATACTACTTGTGACAGCCCGAACTCTCACACATCAAGGTATTGCACACTTTGGCATAACAGCCTCACATTTTTGCCCCGTTAGTGTAACTTCTTAGGAGGCCACCCATCCTAGGAGTGCTCCATCACGAGCACACAGAAATTTGGAGATTATAATAAAATTCCATCATCACACCAAAAAGCGCCTTGATATTTAAGAGTTCAGCTTCATTTTACTTGAGGGATTTCACTTTCGAACTCTTTGAAGTTGCTTTATATTTTCTAAACAAATTTCTCTAAACCATTTGCATAATCTTCCTCTAAAGATTATATATATATATTAAGGAATGACTAGAGGCTTTTATACGAGTCTCCTGCCACTCCTAATGTGCCCAACAATTCGAGTACCACCTCTTTGGTCAACTATGTCAGAGGGGATTCGAACTCCTGACTTGAGGGGTCTTATACCGTGGATGCCAACTAGCAGACTGGGGTACGCGATACACGCGCACGCACGCACGCACACACGTTTTAAAAAGGAATGGTTGGAGGCTATTATGCGAGTCCCGGTCATCCCTCATGCGCCTAAGAATTCGAGCACCACACCCTACACTCGGAGGGCATCGAACCCCGGAACAAAGAGGACTTACAACTGACAAGCAGATGCCCAACCAACTGATCTGTGTACACCACACACACACACACACACACACACACAGTCTAAACCATTTGCATAATCTTCCTCTAAAGATCAAGGTTTACCTTCCAACAGAACCTTATTATCTACTATCAACTTAGTTATTAGTCTAAAGTATTTTTTTTTCACACACCAGGACAGCTCCTCATAGTAAAACACAACAAGGTAAACATGGTTATGACTTAGTTGAGTAAATCAATAACCAACAACTACTCTGAACTCTGTCCACTAAAAACAAAGTGAGCGATAAAATCAATAGCTTGAATGAAAAATTAACAAATAGCTTAATTTCTACTCGCAAGGAACTAATGATTGACACAAATCAATCGAGTAAAAGGATTCAACATTCAACTACAGAGCTTCTGATAAACAACAATGTTTATTTCCATAAAAATAAGTTTTCACCATATAAATACCTTTAGTGGATTTATATCTTGCTCCAAAACTTAATATCAAAATATAAAGTAGTTTATTTAAGACTTAATCCTCACTGCAGCTCAGCCTTATCTTGGCCCTCTAAAGAGCTTAATCACAAGATTATTTAGGAATGATCTGAGGCTATTATACGATCTCCGGCCATCGCCGATGCGCCTAACAATTCGAGTACCACACCTTCCACCAGTAGGAATCGAACCCCGAAGCAGAGGGGACGTACAACTGACATGGCCCTCTAAAGAGCTTAATCACAAGATTATTTAGTGAGTTAGAAGCTCGGCCAGATAAATAATTCTAAAATATAATTCAAATTCATTAAATTGAACTAATATGATATGCTAATCATGAACTAAAAATGAAAAAAATAAAATAAAATAAAATAAAATAAAGTTTAGTGCAATACCTACAATCATTAAAAATTGGCAATTTCTAAATAGCTGGCATAATAAAATGTAAAATAACAATAATAAAGAGAATTTTAAAAAGAGAAATTCAATGAAAATAATAATATGTGCTATGTTAGTCAAGCTATAAATGTCAACATTAGAAACCCATATTTCATAATATAAAATTACTTATTTTATATAATTTCTAATATGAGATATCTTTAGTTTTAAAACTATATCATATATGTGGATCTAAATTCATCGGCCATCATATGAAAGTGAACTACATCAAACCAGCATCACATATCATAGGGTTAAAATTCAACTTGAGGTTTACTAATTGATGACTTCTTTACACTCATAAGAGCACCCTTTGCCGTGCCATATGTATGGATGATCATAAAAATACCATTTCAAGAAATTTTTTTACCTTTATATCATACCTCTGTCACCCTACGCTGTAAAGTTTATCATAAATATATCAACTTAAACATCCTTCCATCAAATGATCTGGCCTTATCTACATACTTGAGTAAATTATCAAAAATATACCAACTTGAAAACCTTTTACCTTTTCATACGAGCTTACCTTTATCACCCTACCTATAAGAGTTAATAAAAATATTATTGTCAACCTATCAACATAGAAGACTTCTTTATTTTCAATTTCATTATTTGACATGCACACACACGTGTGTACATATAAGCGCTTCATATATATATGTACCTACACATACACATATCAAAATGATCCTCATTAATTTTAAGACTTTAAGAGAAAAAATTAAACATTATTATTAAATGTGAAAATTTATGACTTCTTTAACCTTAACCTTTCAAAAAAATTGAGTATTATAACTCTTCCCACCTAACTGAAATTTCATGCTCAAGTTTGCCTCAACAATTCGCTAAACAATAAAAGAAAAATTAGAATCATATCTAATTTTGCACAAGTTGTCTCTTTTTTAATAAATAATTGCACTTTACTTTCATGTAAGGGTTTGGTATATTTTTTTTAACTCTTTTTAGTATTTAAATCTAGTATCCTTTATGATTCTTCAAAATAAATTAGAATGCTTTGCACCTCAATTTCAACTTGTGGTTCTCTTTTATTTCCATTTATAACTCATTTTTCATACTTTGATACAGGGAAGACATTAGATACACCAGACATATCTACTAAGAATGCTACCATGTACAAAGTTTTCTCATTTATTTCAAATAGTCCTAAATATCCGTGACTCGACTGCTCCCATTGGCTAAATCTAGATTTTTTTTTTCAAATATATGACCTTTAAGAATACAAATTCACTTACTTTGAAATTAACAATCTATGCTTTGTTTCAAAATAATTCAGCCAAAATTCCTAGGCCGCCTTCAACCTTTCTCTGATTAATTTGATTCTCTCAAGATCTTGATCAACTAAATACAGATCCATCAACTTTCTCCAACTCACAGCCTAACTTATAGATTTTTACATTTCCTTCCATGCAATGCCTTGAATGGAGTCATTTTTAATGCTAGCTTAGCAATTATTGTTATAAGCATACTCTATCACAAGAATATAATCGACCCAACTACCTCTAAAATTCAAAATGTATAGCCTTGGTAAATCGTCTAAAATTTGAATGACTCTTTCTAATTGGTCAACTATCTGCCGAAGAAAAATTGTATTCAAATACATTTTAGTGCCAAAATTTTCATGAATGCTCTTACATAATTTGAAAGTGAGTCTATCTCTTCTAAATAAGCCGCGTGCAAAAATCTCCTCAACACAAAATCTCTTGGAATCTGAAGATATGAGTTGTTTCTTATCACACATGCTCGTCTATATTGATATCTTTCCTCTTATTTGCTAGCATTTGATCAATTAACTTCTGGTATTCTTTGTTAAATTTCTGCTCAAATTATATCAAAAAACTTAAAGCACACATTAATGATTTGTGCCATTGGATATGTTTCCCTATGACCCTCAAATAACAAAGAGCATAAGGCACAAGGATAGAGACTCTACAATGTTAGATCCATCTATCTATGACCCTCGGATTGTAATATGTGTGCTTTCCTAAAGAATCTTGATCCCTATTAATTTTTCTCTCTTTTGTTTATGTTATTCCTATTTTGTAATGT